CTGTCGCGGTGTTTGGGTGTTCTCCGTGCCTCGTGCCACCCTGTGACAATAAAGGCAGAGCTAAGGAACGGCCTGGACACGTCTGGTGGGGCTGGGGACAGCTCAGGGTGGCATCGGGCATGGGAATGGGGGACAGGGCGTCACCCGGGGTTGAGATGGACCCGAGTACCCCCAAACTCAGCCCAGGGATCAAACCTGGGATCCCACTCGGTGCCCAAACCTGAGATCCCACCCAAACCTGAGATCCTGCTCAGTCCCCAAACCTGAGATCCTGCTCAAGCCTAAGATCCCACCCAAATCTGAGATCCCTCCCAAACCTGAGATCCAGCTCAGCACCCAAACCTGAGCCCCTGCCCCGGGCCCCTGCTCAGGGCCTGTCCTGGGGTTGTCCCCTCTTTTTCCCATCAGTGGGGACAAAGGGGGGCTCCCGGTGGGAGGCAGAGCCAGGCTGGCAGTGCCAGTGTCCCCCAGCAGAGCTGGCAGTGCCAGTGTCCCCCAGCCTGTCTGGCTGGGGATGGAGCTGGGATGGACCGGGATAACCCTCGGGACACGGGACAGGCTGGGGATGGAGCCGGGGTGACCCGGGATAACCCCCAGGACACGGGACAGGCCCGGGATGCGCTGTCCCGGGATGCGTGGGCTCGGATCCCGAGGGAATCCCCGTCCCCGCGGGTGCTCTGGGGACCGGGCTGATCTCCCGGCTGGAAATTCCCGGGATTTCCCGATCCGTGGCGTTTCACGCCCGCCCTCAGCCGCCGTCTCACCTCCCACGGCAGAGCTGCGCCGTCTGCCTGGAGGATTTTGGGCTGCAGGAGGAGCTGGGGGTGCTGCTGTGCCAGCGCGGCGGGAGCGGCCAATTCCCGCCGGGAATCCGCATTCCTGAATCCCTGGCCGCGGGTGGCTGCAATTCCCGCCGGGAATCGGCATTCCCGCATTCCTGCCCGCAGGTGCCGGGAATTCCTGGTGGGAATCGGCATTCCCGCAATTCCCGGTGGCATTCCCGTGTTCCTGCCCACAGGTGCCGGGAATTCCCGGCGGGAATCAGAGTTCCCAAATTCCTGCCCACAGGAATTGCAGGAATTCCCAGTGGGAATCAGCATTCCCACGTTCCTGCCCGCAGGTGCTGGGAATTCCTGGCAGGAATCGGCATTCCTGCATTCCTGCCCGCAGGTGGCTGCAATTCCCGGTGGGAATGGGTATTCCCGAATTTCTGCCCGCAGGAATTGCAGGAATTCCCGGCGGGAATCAGAATTCCCGCAATTCTTGCCCACAGCTGCCTGCAATTCCCAGTGGGAATTGGCATTCCCACGTTCCTGCCTGCAGGTGGCTGCAATTCCCGGTGGGAATCGGCATTCCCGAATTTCTGCCCGCAGGAATTGCAGGAATTCCCAGTGGGAATCAGCATTCCCACAATTCCCGGTGGCCTTTCTGCCTGCAGGTGCCAGGAATTCCCGGTGCGAATCGGCATTCCCGAATTTCTGCCCGCAGGAATTGCGGGAATTCCCGGTGGGAACCGGCATCCTCGCAATTCCCAGTGGAAATCAGCATTCCCGCAATTCCCAGCGCCATTCCCGCGTTCCTGCCCTCAGGTGCTGGGAATTCCCGCCAGGAATCGCCATTCCCCAATTCCCAGCACCATTCCCAAATTTCTGCCCGCAGGTGCTGGGAATTCCCAGTGGAAATCAGCATTCCCCAGTTCCCAGGGCCATTCCCACGTTCCTGCCTGCAGGAATTGCGGGAATTCCCAGCAGGAGATTCGCTGCGTGTGCCCCGTGTGCATCAAACCCCTCAAACCGCCCCACGCCGGCCTCGGGACCCTCCTGGGGCAGCTGGGGGAGGCAGCCCCGGGGCCGGATCGCACCTGCGGGATCCACAGGGATCCACCGGGATCCATAGGGATCCACGGGGATCCACAGGGATCCACAGGGATCCACAGGGATCCACCCCACCTGCCCCAGTCCCTCTGCAGGGATCCGCGGTTTCCCGTCTGGGATTTCACCCCCAAGGCCACGGCTCGGTTTGGGTTTGGCCTTGTCCGCGTTGTGGAATTCCCGGCGGGAAGCTGAGCCCTGGGTGAGGGTCGGGATCCTTGTCCTCCCCCCTTGGTGTGGGAATCCATAAAATCAGAGGGGTTTGGGAAAGCTGCAAGAGGCCCCAGAGGCAGCAGAACTGGGATTGGAGCTGAGCAGCAGCCATGAGATTGGGCAGCAGAAAAATTAAAATTATTTAAACTGTAGAAAAGCAAGGGCAAATAGAACAATGGTCTGTGTATTAACACTTGTCTAGAATAACTCCCTAAACTACAGAAAGTTTATCTAGAGAGATATTAGGCAGTTCTAAGCTTAATAATGGAGCTCTGAGCATTGTGTTTGAAGGCTCACAAGCAGGGATTGTATTTGAAATAAGCAAGCATTGTTTAACCAAAGGTACCTGTGCTTGTAGCGGTTGGATGGAACCACTGTCAATGTGCTTTTGCTTTGTGGGATTGGTCAAAACACTTATAAAGTGAGTTGTGACATTGAGTTCTGTGTCTGCTGCCTGGGATGTGAGCTGGTGGCATCTTCCCATTGTCATAACCATGGAATGAGGCTGATGCTGGAAAATCAAACAGCTCAAGGCACGTTCCCAGTAGTCCTGTCCTGTTGGTGATTTGTGCACAGCCCCTGGCTGGTGACACCTTGGCTGCACTGAGTTGTTTTTGTATCCCCGGAGCCCCCCGGGATCCCCACGGGGCTGAGGGGTTGTCTGGGGATCTCTGCTGCCCACAGGGACCCCAGGACGTGTTCAAGTCTCTTTTCCCAGCCCGGCAGTCAAAGAAGGAGTCAGAGCTCTTCAGTTCTCATTCCCAAGGTTGTTTGTTGTTTCTTATCCATAAAATTCTTTCTCTGGCCTGCCGAGGTCCCTTCAGCAGGACAGACAGAGGCACACTGACACCCTCAGTTATCTTTTCATACTAAAAACTACGTGTACAATATTTACAATTCCTTCCCAATACCCATCACCTGTGTTAGACACTGAGCTTCCACCCTAAACCAATCCCAAAGTGCCAACATAACCCAGAAGATGGAGAACAAGAAGAAGAAGGAGAAAGGCTGGACACGCCCAGATTCCTCCATCTTGCCCCCTGAACTCCCATTCTAAAAACCCCAAAAAATCTCTTTTTCACCCCATGACAAACTAATTATTATTCTACTTAGACTTTCGTGGCTTGCAGATCCTCATATAAGGTTGGTGATTTTTTCCATGGGTCATAATCAAAGCCAGAGGGGTCTTGGGCTCTGTGCCAGGGTCTCTGAGCCCCCTGGCAGGGGTTTGAGCAATCCAGGACAGACAGGGATGTGCTGAATTCCAACTGGATTGTACAGTTTTGTGTCCAAAAAATTCTTAAATGGATGATTTTGAACCCATCTGAGCTGTGGGTGCTGCAGGGATGGGCCAGGGGACCCCAGGGGGTGCTGAGCCCCCCAAGGAGGGGACACAGCTGGCTGTGACCCTTTAAGGTGGTGACAAAGTGCCCAAAATACATCAAACTGCCCCCAAATTGTGCCCAGATCAGGGCAGGACCCCCCGAATCTTCCCAGTTTCCCCGCTTTACACATATCTGAGAGATGATGACGTCAGTAGTGACATCACTGACCCCTCCAGGGCCGGCCGCTCCCCAGGCTGTGCCCACATCAGGGCGCACCCCTGGATTTGCCCATTCCCGATGATTTTTGACACGTGCCGGAGAATGTGACATCAGCAGTGACATCACAGAGCGCCCAGGGGCTGTGCATGCCCCCCTTCATTTGCTCATTTCCACTGATTATCGACATGGGAAGGAGATGACGTGGCAGTGACGTCACAGAGCCAATCGCCAGCACCTCACCCGCCGAGGGGATGATGTCAGCAGTGACGTCATGCACCCTATAACATCCTCCTACCTATTGAATTTCATGGTTTTGACATGTGGGAATGACGTAGCAGTGATGTCACAGGGCCAATTACCAGGCACCTCACACGGCATATGGATGACGTCAGCGGTGACATCATACACCCAATAACATCCTCCTAACTACTGAATTTCACTGGTTTTGACATAAGGGAATGATGTAGCAGTGACGTCATAGAGCCGATCACCAGGCACCTCCCATGGAGTATGGGTGACATCAGCAGTGACATCATACACCCCATAACATCTCCTAGCTATTGAATTTAGGTGGTTTTTACGTATGGGAATGACGTAGCAGTGACATCACAGACCCAATCACCAGGCACCTCACATGCCGAGGGGATGACGTCAGAAGTGACATCACACACCCCATGATATTTTTCTCGCCATTGAATTTCACTTGTTTTGTTGTTGCGTGGGGACGTAGCAGCGACAGCTGATCACCAGACCGCGCAAGCAGTATGCAGATGACGTCAGCTGCGACGTCACCCCTAACACATTCCTAGCCAGCCGAATCTCTGTTCTTGCCGTACAGGCGGTAAAATGACGTCATGGTGACGTCAGGACCCCCCGGCGGTCAGATGGGACTGTGCAACGTCGTAACGCAGGGCGCACACATCACGCAGGCGCGTGCCACTCCCATTCATCATTTCCATGAACCGGAAGGATCGCCAACATGGCCGCCGCGCCCGAAGCTACCACCGTGCCACTGCTCTGCCGGCCACGGCGACATCACTGCCCCACTTAGCTCTCCCTGGTTTTTCATTTACCCCCTCTGAGCCGTTCTTCTCGTCCTTCTCCTTCCCGTTTTTCCGCTCCGCACCGCCGCACGGCCGCTCTGCCGCGCTCCGCAGTCGGAAATTAGCGATGCAAATTTATGCGCTCATAACCACGCCCCCCACCGTCGGCTTTACGGCAAGCGGGAGGTTTTGCGACAGTACGCGCGCGTGGTGCGGGGGGCGGCGGCGGCGCGGTGACGGGACCGGGCGTGTTCGGGGGGTTTGTGAGGGATCCCAGGGGTGCTTGAGGGTCTCTGAGGAGAACCCGGGGGTCTGTGAGGGATCCCGGGATGCTCGGGGGTCTCTGAGGTGTCCCGGGGGTCTCTGAGGTGTCCCGGGGTCCCCTCTCCCCGCAGTTCGCCGCTGCCCCCAGCGATGTGTCCCTAGCGCGGTTCCAGGGCGGGCCGGTCCCGCGGTTCCCGTGCGAGGCCATGGCCGCCAGCAGCACCAGCAGCACCAGCCCGAGCCCGGAGCGGGGCCCTGTCGCTCCCTCGGCCGAGCAGGCGCTGCTGCGGGCCGGGCGGGCGCTGTGCGAGCGGGCCGGGGCGCTGCGGGAGCTGGGCGCGCTGCTGGAGGCGGCGGATGCCGCGGCGCTGGCCCGGCTGGCGGCGGCGCTGGGCGGGCTGGCGGCTCCGCCGCAACGGGAGCGGGACGGGGCCGAGCAGCCCGGCCGGGACGCGGCGTTAGCGGCCGTGCCCGAGCGGGCAGAGCGCGTTGGCGCCGCGTTCCTGCTGCTCCTGCAGAAGCTGGAAGATGCCCGGAGCCAGGAGTCGCCACCGGTGGGGTCCATCCCGCGCCGGGTGCTGGGACACGCGTTCATCTTTGCTGTCACACACAAAGAGGAGAGGCCCTGGACCACGGCGAGGAGTCGGGCGGTGGCTCAGGAGGTGCTGGAGCGGCTGCTCCGGACTGCGGGCTGCGGGTCCGTGGAGGAATTCCTGCAGGGAAAGGAGGGGGATGAGGAAGGAAGATTCGGAGAGGTGATGGGGCTCCTGAAGCAGGAGTTGACCAAGTGAGTGGGGAGCAGAGTGTGGCGTGGTTGGATAGGAAATACTGGGAAATTTCTGAGGCTCAAGAGATGATAAGTACGAAACCAGGAGCTTTCCAAATGGAAGGTGTTGGGGGATGATTGTCAGGGTTTGCTGCCAGCTGAGAGCCTCGGGTGGAGGGGAAATGAGCACTGTGGTGGCTCAGGAGCTGCTGGAGCGGCTGCTCCAGGCTGCGGGTCCGTGGAGGAATTCCTGCAGGGAAAGGAGGGGGATGAGGAAGGAAGATTCGGAGAGGTGATGGGGCTCCTGAAGCAGGAGTTAACCAAGTGAGTGGGGAGCAGAGTGTGGCATGGTTGGAGGGTGTCTGTGGGAAATACTGGGAAATTTGACACTCGAGGTGATAAGTATGAAACCAGGAGCTTTCCAAATGGAAGGTGTCGGGATCTCTGCTGCTCAGAGTAACCTCAAAAAAAGTTCCAAAGTCTCTTTTCCCAGCCTGGTGCTTGAAGAATGAGTCAGGGCTCTTCATTTCTCGGTCTCAAGGTTGTTTATTTTATCTTACCTATAAAAAATTTTCTCCTGCCCTGCCGAGGTCCGTCCAGCAGGACAGTTCCAGGCACTCTGCCTGCCCCCAGGGCAGGGTTATGTCTTTATACTAAAAACTACCTGTACAATGTTTACAATTACTTCCCAATACCCATCACCTGTGTTAGACACTGAGCTTCTACTCTAAACCAATCCCAAAGTGCCAACATCACAGCAGAAGATGGAGGCCAAGAAGAAGAAGGAGAAAGGCTGGACACACCCAATTCTCTCCATCTTGCCTCCTGAACCCCCATACCAAAAACCCCAAAATCTACTTTTCCACCCCGTGATAACTTCACTAATATTCTACTTAAACTGTTGTAGCTTGCTGATCTTCATACAAGGTTGGTAACTTGCTCCATGGGTCATAATCAAACCCACAGGGGCATTTTGGGCTCTGTGCCAGGGTCTCTGAGCCCCCTGGCAGGGTCTGGGCTGCTCAGGACAGCCAGAGGGATCCCTGGGTGCTGACAGGAAGGTGTTGGGGGATCATTGTCAGGGTTTGCCGCCAGCTGAGAGCCTCAAGTGGAGGGGAAGTGAGCACTGCGTGTTCCCTGAGCTGTGCCTGTCTCTCCAGAGACACCTGGAAGTGTAACCCTGCCTCCAAGGACGTGTTCTCCTGGTCTCTGCTCCGTGTCAGCCGGCCCCGCCTGTGCCCGCACCTGGAGCGGGTCCTGCCGCCCGCGCTGCTCCTCTCCGACGACTTCCAGGAGGAGAACAAAGTGCTGGGCGTGCGCTGCCTGCACCACATCGTCCTCAACGTGGTGAGGAAGGGAGGGCGTGGAGCCCCCTGCGGCCGCTGTGTGCCGGGAGGGGCGATCACGGAATGTCCTGAGCTGGGAGGGACCCACAGGGACCCGAGTCCCAGCCCTGGCCCTGCACGGACCCCCCCAACCATCTCATCCTGGAGCTCGGGCAGCCTCGAGGCCGTGCCCGTTCCCTGGGCAGTGCCCAGCACCCTCTGGGGAGAGAACCTGTCCCTAAAATCCAGCCTGACCCTGCCCTCACACAGTTCCACCTGTGGGTCAGGTTCCTAACTTCTCTTCCTGGTGAATGGCAGGGCTTAACCTGCATTTCCTGCAGTTCCCCAGACTCTGGGAGGGCCATGGCAGGGCTTAACCTGCATTTCCTGCAGTTCCCCAGACTCTGGGAAGGCCATGGCAGGGTTTAACCTGCATTTCCTGCAGCTTTTTACACTCCCCAGGCTTTGGGAAGGCCATGGCAGGGTTTAACCTGCATTTCCTGCAGTTCCCCAGACTCTGGGAGGGCCATGGCAGGGTTTAACCTGCATTTCCAGCAGTTCCTCACACCTTCCAGGCTTTGGGAAGGCCATGGCAAGATTTCAGCTGCATTTCCTGCATTTCCTCACACTCCTCCAGGCTTTGGGAAGTTTAACCTGCATTTCCAGCCGTTCCTCACACCTTGCAGGCTTTGGGAAGGCCATGGCAGGGTTTAACCTGCATTTCCAGCCATTCCTCACACCTTGCAGGCTTTGGGAAGGCCATGGCAGGGTTTAACCTGCATTTCCTGCAGTTCCCCAGACTCTGGGAAGGCCATGGCAGGGTTTAACCTGCATTTCCTGCAGTTCTTCACACCTCCCAAGCTTCAGGAAGGCCATGGCAGGGTTTAACCTGCATTTCCTGCAGTTCCCCAGACTCTGGGAGGGCCATGGCAGGGTTTAACCTGCATTTCCTGCATTTCCTCACACTCCTCCAGGCTTTGGGAGGTTTAACCTGCATTTCCAGCAATTCCTCGCACCTTGCAGGCTTTGGGAAGGCCATGGCAGGGTTTAACCTGCAGTTCCCCACACTCCCCAGGCTTTGGGAAGTTTAACCTGCATTTCCTCACACTCCTGCAGGCTTTGGGAGGTTTAACCTGCATTTCCAGCAGTTCCTGGCTGGGCTGAGGGTCCTGTGCTGCCCAGCAGTGATGTCCTGCTCTCTGTTGTTGCAGCCAGGAGCGGATCTGTGCCAGTTCAACAGGGCCCAGGTGGTTTTCCACGCCCTCTACAACCACCTCTACTCACGGGAGGCTCCTCTCATCCAGGTAGGACGGGGCTGCCCTGGCCTTTGGGGGGGCCTGGGGTGCAGGGAGCCCCTCAGGTTCAGGCAGGAGGCTGAGCCTGCCCCTATCACCAGGGAATAAATTGCAGGAAAACACCACAGAGGGAGGAGCTGCTCCCTCCTGCCCATTCCAGGTGGGCACGGAACAGCTTTGAAGCACCCAGCTGAGCCACGGGGTTGGGTTTGTTGTGCTTTGGAGAGAGCAGGAGCTCAGAGTCCCCGCTGTCCCCAAACCAGGCGGTGCTGCTGTGCCTGCTGGACCTGCTGCCCGTGCTGGAGCGATGGCAGCGGCGCCAGGGCCAGCCCAGGGCCACCTCCCCCTGGGACCAGGTGCTGCAGCTGCTGCTGACCCACATGGAGGCCGAGCACCGGCTGGCGCTGCGCAGGGTCTACGCAGGGAGCCTGCCTGCCTTTGTCACCAGGTGGGACACGGGGACAGGGCCACCTGAGCACATGCCTGAGGGGTGGGAGCTGCACCTGGGGCTGTGCCCACCTGCCTGAGGGGTGGGAGCTGCACCTGGGGCTGTGCCCACCTGCCTGAGGGGTGGGAGCTGCACCTGGGGCACTGCATACCTGCCTGAGGGGTGGGAGCTGCACCTGGGGCTGTGCCCACCTTCCTGAGGGGTGGGAGCTGCACCTGGGGCGCTGCACACCTTCCCAAAGGGGTGGGAGCTGCACCTGGGGCCGTGCCCACCTTCCTGAGGGGTGGGAGCTGCACCCGGGGCACTGCACACCTGCCTGAGGGGTGGGAGCTGTACCTGGGGCACTGCACACCTTCCTGAGGGGTGGGAGCTGCACCTGGGGCACTGCACACCTTCCTGAGGGGTGGGAGCTGCACCTGGGGCTGTGCCCACCTTCCTGAGGGGTGGGAGCTGTACCTGGGGCTGTGCCCACCTTCCTGAAGGTCTGGGAGCTGCACCTGGGGCTGTGCCCACCTTCCTGAGGGGTGGGAGCTGCACCTGGGCTCTGCCCACCTTCCCAAAGGGGGTGGGAGCACAGGGATGGGCCCTGGGCTTGGTATCCAAGGGTTGGTTCCCCCCTCAGGGTGTGTTTTTGGGATCCAGGGAATTATCCTCCTTCCTCAGGGTGTTTTTAGGATCCAGGGGATCAATCCTCCCTCCTCAGGGTGTGTTTTTAGGATCCAGGGAATTATCCTCCTTCCTCAGGGTGTGTTTTTGGGATCCAGGGGATCAATCCCCCCTCCTCAGGGTGTTTTTGGGATCCAGGGGATCTGTCCCCCCTCCTCAGGGTGTGTTTGTGCTCCCAGACTCGGCATCCTCATCGTGAGGCACCTGAAGAGGCTGGAACGAGTCATCCTGGGCTACCTGGAGGTGTCTGATGGCCCTGGGGAAGAGGCCAGGCTGGGAATCCTGCAGACTCTGCAGTGCACCATAGAGCACGCCTGGCCCAGGTACCACAAAACTGTCCTGCCATGAATGTTTCATTCCTACCCTGGATCTTCCCACTTTAAAACCCAAAGTTACTTTTTCTCCAGGAAAAGCCCTGAAATCATTTCATTCCTGTCCTGCCATGAATGTTTCATTCCTACCCTGGATCTTCCCACTTTAAAACCCAAAGTTACTTCAGGAAAAGCCCTGAAATCATTTCATTCCTGTCCTGACATGAATGTTTCATTCCTACCCTGAATCTTCCCACTTGAAGACCCAAAGTTACTTTTTCTTCAGGAAAAGCCCTGAAATCCTGAGGGAAAATTGTCCCACTGGCATTATTGAAAAACGTGGCTCCAAAATTAAGCTGGGCCCTCATTTTGACCCAACTTGTGCTGTTCCAAAAGCATAAATTGCACCACCATGGAGTAAACCCTGTGCTGTGAGCTGCATTTGTGCATTACCAGCATCCCCAACACCATCCCTGGTTCCTGCCTGTCCAGGGCTGTCCTGGCTGCAATCCTGCCCCAGAGCAGCCCCAGGCTGTGCTGTCCCTGCCTGGGGAGGCTTTGGGATGAGCTCTTTCCCTTGCAGGATGCCCTGCAGGCTCCCTGTGCTCCTCAAGGCCCTGCTGAGGCTGCTCTGGGACGTTCACAGCGATCAGGGCCCGACCCCTGAGCCTGTCAGGGCTGCTCTGCTGCACGGGGCCACCCAGTGCCTCATCCTGCTGGACCACTGCTGCCAGGGCCAGGTCAAGGTGAGCCAGGGCTCCCTGGGGCTGCTGGGGACAGGGCAAGGTGAGCCAGGGCTCCCTGGGGCTGTCAGGGACAGGTCAGAGTGGGTCAGGGCTCCCTGGGGCTGCTGGGGACAGGTCAAGGTGGGTCAGGGTTCCCTGGTGGCTTTCAGGGCTCCCTGGGGCTGCCAGGGCCAGGTCAAGGTGAGCCAGGGCTCCCTGGGGTTGCTGGGGACAGGTCAAGGTGGGTCAGGGCTCCCTGGTGGCTGTCAGGGCTCTCTGCTGGCTGTTAGAGCTCTCTCGTGGCTATCAGGGCCAGGTCAAGGTGAGCCAGGGCTCCCTGGTGGCTCTCAGGGCCCCTTGGTGGCTGCCAGGGCCCCTTGGTGGCTCTCAGGGCCCCTTGGTGGCTCTCAGGGCCCCTTGGTGGCTCTCAGGGCTCCCTTGGTGGCTCTCAGAGCCCCTTGGTGGCTCTCAGGGCTCCCTGGGGGCTCTCAGGGCCCCTTGGTGGCTCTCAGGGCTCCCTTGGTGGCTCTCAGGGCCCCTTGGTGGCTGCCAGAGCTCCTTGGTGGCTCTCAGGGCTCCCTTGGTGGCTCTCAGAGCCCCCTGGTGGCTCTCAGGGCCCCTTGGTGGCTCTCAGGGCCCCTTGGTGGCTCTCAGGGCTCCTTGGTGGCTCTCAGGGCTCCCTGGTGGCTCTCAGGGCCCCTTGGTGGCTCTCAGGGCCCCTTGGTGGCTCTCAGGGCTCCCTGGTGGCTCTCAGGGCCCCTTGGTGGCTCTCAGGGCTCCCTGGTGGCTTCCAGGCCCCTCTTCCCCCTCAGCCCAGCAGGAGTTTGGGTCCCCCCTCCCCAGCAGCGGTGCTGAGGGACTCAGGAGCTGTTGCTGGATGGGCTCAGTGTGGGCTGGGTGGCACCATCAGTGCCAGGGCTCTGGCAGTGCTGCTCTGCTCCCTGCAGGTGCTGCTGGCAGGGCTGCACAGCAGCTGTGAGGAGAAGAGGCTGCAGGAGTGCTTCAGGAAGGTGCAGGAGAGCACCTGAGGTGTCTGACACTGCTCAGCCCCTTTTGTACAATAAAAATGTTGTGTTTATTTAAAATTCTGTCCTTCTGTCCCACCTGCGAGCCCTACACCTGACAGAGGGGACAGGGGCACCTGGGGCTGTGCCCACCTTCCCAAAGGGGTGGGAGCTGCACCTGGGGCTGTGCCCACCTTCCTGAGGGGTGGGAGCTGCACCTGGGGCACTGCACACCTGCCTGAGGGGTGGGAGCTGCACGTGGGGCTGTGCCCACCTTCCCAAAGGGGTGGGAGCTGCACCTGGGGCTGTGCCCACCTTCCTGAGGGGTGGGAGCTGCACCTGGGGCACTGCACACCTTCCCCAGGGGTGGGAGCTGCACCTGGGACTGTGCCCACCTTCCTGAGGGGTGGGAGCTGCACCTGGGCTGTGCCCACCTTCCCAAAGGGGTCTGGGAGCTGCACCTGGGGCACTGCACACCTGCCTGAGGGGTGGGAGCTGCACCTGGGGCACTGCACACCTTCCTGAGGGGTTGGAGCTGCACCTGGGGCTGTGCCCACCTTCCTGAGGGGTGGGAGCTGCACCTGGGGCCGTGCCCACCTTCCCAAAGGGGTCTGGGAGCTGCACCTGGGGCTGTGCCCACCTTCCTGAGGGGTGGGAGCTGCATCTGGGGCTGTGCCCACCTTCCCCAGGGGTGGGAGCTGCACCTGGGACTGTGCCCACCTTCCTGAGGGGTGGGAGCTGCACCTGGGGCTGTGCCCACCTCCCTGAGGGTCTGGGAGCTGCACCTGGGGCACTGCACACCTGCCTGAGGGGGTGGGAGCTGCACCTGGGGCTGTGCCCACCTCCCTGAGGGGTGGGAGCTGCACCTGGGGCTGTGCCCACCTTCCCAAAGGGGTGAGAGCTGCACCTGGGGCTGTGCCCACCTGCCTGAGGGGTGGGAGCTGCACCTGGGGCTGTGCCCACCTTCCTGAGGGGGTGGGAGCTGCACCTGGGGCCGTGCCCACCTTCCCAAAGGGGTCTGGGAGCTGCACCTGGGGCTGTGCACACTTTCCTGAGGGGTGGGAGCTGCACCTGGGGCTGTGCCCACCTTCCCAAAGGGGTCTGGGAGCTGTACCTGGGGCTGTGCCCACCTTCCTGAGGGGTGGGAGCTGCACCTGGGACCATGCCCACCTTCCCAAAGGGGTGGGAGCTGCACCTGGGGCTGTGCCCACCTGCCTGAGGGGTGGGAGCTGCACCTGGGGCCGTGCCCACCTTCCTGAGGGGTGGGAGCACAGGGATGGCCCCGGGCCTGGTACCCAAGGGTTGGCTTGGGCTCTGTGCCAGGGCTCTGGCAGTGCTGCTCTGCTCCCTGCAGGTGCTGCTGCCAGGGCTGCACAGCAGCTGTGAGGAGAACAGGCTGCAGGAGAGCACCTGAGGTGCCTGACACTGCTCAGCTGCTTTTGTACAATAAAATTCTTGGTTTTATTTCAAGTTCTGTCGTTCTTGTCCTACCTCTGAGCCCTACACCTCCCCCCAGACACAGCTGAGCTTTCCCCAGCCTTACAGGGAGCAGCAGGGCCCTTCCTGGAGCAGAGGCTGGGCTCAGCTTTTTGAGGTTGCAGAGGAGGGAGGTGGGAGATGTTCCTTTGAGCTGGGCTTCACCCATTGTACAAACTCACTGCAGCTGCCTGGGCTCAGGGCACAGACCCCAGAACATGTGTGGAGTATCAAACAGGCTCCTGTGAGGGGTGGGAGGTGGGTGACAGATGCTGCAGTCACACTCTGGAGGCACATCTGGAGTTCAGTCAGTACCAAATGGGATCAGGAGGGCTCAAGCTGTTTTTGTCTTGGTGCTGGGCTCTGTCTCCTCCTCGTACTCTATCTCGATGTGGGGACGTTTTCTCCTGGCTGGGCCCTTCAGGGGCGTTTTCCCTTTAGATTTGGAGTGGGAGGCTTTCTCCTCCTCTTCTTCCTCCTCTTCCTGCTCCTCTTCACTGCTTGTCTCCAGTTTATCCATGTCCTGAGGAAGAATTGAGTGAGCAGAGTGATGTCAGGGCAGGTTGTGTAATTAAACCTCCTCCTTCCCCAAAATCACCTCCTTACGATCCCACTCAGAGCTGGGCTGGGCTCCCACTGCACAATTCTCTTCCACAGCTGATTTTGCTGCCTCTTACCCCTCCCCAAAGGCACCCAGGGGTGGAGGTGCCCCTGCAGCTCAGCCTCAGTTGGGCCCTGGTGCTTCACCCACCTCAAAGTCGCTGAGCTCGCTGTCCTCTGCTTCCACAAACTCCCTTTTATCCACGTCCTGCAAGGAACAGAGCAGGGACTGAGCACTGCAGCATCATGGAAGAGCCACCAAAAGGCTCTTCTGAGTTGTTCTCAGCCCAGCTCAGCACCACAGCAGGGCTGGAAGCTTTACCTCATCATCATCCTCATCTTCTTCCCTCTCTGCATCCGACTCGCTCTCGCTCTCTGCGTCTTGCTGCTGCAGGGCCTTGTCAAAGGCGTGGATGGGGAAGTTGTAAATGTCTCCATACTGAAAGGAAAATCGGCATTTTCCATGAGCCACAGGAGGAGGAAGATGCACTTTGGGCTGGGGGGGCACTGACAGCCTGCATGGGGCAGCATCAGACTGAGGTGTGGATCAGCCCCTTCCCAGCTGGGCCCACGATCCTGCACAGGACAGGAGGGGAGCCCTCGTGTTTTGGGGGAACCCTCGTGTTTGGGGGAGCCCTCGTGTTTTGGGGCTCTCCATGCAGAGAGCAGGAGGGCAGCCCTCGTGTTTTGGGGAGCCCTCGCATTTGGGGGAGCCCTCGTGTTTTGGGGCTACCTGTGCACAGAGCAGGAGGGCAGCCCTCGTGTTTGGGGAGCCCTCGTGTTTTGGGGGAGCCCTCGTGTTTTGGGGAGCACTCATGTTTTGGGGCTACCTATGCACAGAGCAGGAGGGCAGCCCTCGTGTTTTGGGGGAACCCTCGTGTTTTGGGGCTCCCTGTATTTTGGGGAGTCCTTGTCTTTTGGAGCTCCCGTGTTTTGGGGAGCCCTTGTGTTCTGGGGGGTCCCTGTGCACAGAACAGGAGGGGAGCCCTCATGTTTTGGGGCTCCCTGTGCACAAGAGGGGAGCCCTCGTGTTTTAAGGCTCCTTGTGTACTAGAGAAGAGGGCAGCCCTCATGTTTTGGGGAGCCCTCATGTTTTGGGGCTCCCTGTGCACAGGACAGGAGGGGAGCACTTGTCTTTTGGGGAGCCCTCATGTTTTGGGGTTCCCTGTGTTTTGGGAAGTCCTGTGCACAATAGGGGAGGCCTCATGTTTTGGGGTTCCCTGTGTTTTGGGGAGCCCTCGTGTTTTGGGGTTCCCTGTGTTTTGGGGAGCCCTGTGCACAGAACAGGGGAGCAGCCCTCATGTTTTGGGGAGCCCTCGTGTTTTGGGGCTCCCTGTGCACAATAGGGGAGCCCTCATGTTTTGGGGCTCCCTGTGTTTTGGGAAGTCCTGTGCACAATAGGGGAGCCCTCATGTTTTGGGGTTCCCTGTGTTTTGGGGAGCCAGGCATCCCCCAGGGCAGCTCCCTCACCGTGTCCTGCTTCAGCCTTTCCAGCAGCTCCTTCTCGATGGCGTTGTCCAGCTGGGCAGCGATCAGGGCTTTCTCCTGGGGAACACAGAGCAGCTGGGTGAGCGCCAGGGACAGTGGGGACAGCAGCAGTGACACGAGGTGACACAGGGGCAGTGACACGAGGTGACACAGGGGCAGTGGCACGAGGTGACACGGGGGCAGTGGCACGAGGTGACACGGGGCACTCAAGGTGACACAGGGCACTTGAGGTGACACAGGGGCAGTGGCACGAGGTGACACAGGGCACTCGAGGTGACACAGGGGCAGTGGCACGAGGTGACACAGGGCACTCGAGGTGACACGGGGCACTCAAGGTGACACAGGGGCAGTGGCACGAGGTGACACAGGGCACTCGAGGTGACACAGGGGCACTTGAGGTGACACAGGGCACTTGAGGTGACACAGGGCACTCAAGGTGACACGGGGCACTAGAGGTGACACGGGGCACTAGAGGTGACACAGGGGCACTCAAGGTGACACAGGGCACACGAGGTGACACGGGGCACTCGAGGTGACACAGGGGCACTTGAGGTGACACAGGGGCAGTGGCACGAGGTGACACAGGGCACTCGAGGTGACACAGGGGCAGTGGCACAAGGTGACACAGGGGCAGTGGCACGAGGTGACACAGGGCACTCAAGGTGACACAGGGCACTCGAGGTGACACAGGGGCAGTGGCACAAGGTGACACGGGGCACTCGAGGTGACACAGGGCCAGTGGCATGAGGTGACACAGGGCACTCAAGGTGACACGGGGCAGTGGCACGAGGTGACACAGGGGCAGTGGCACAAGGTGACACGGGGCACTCGAGGTGACACAGGGCCAGTGGCATGAGGTGACACAGGGCACTCAAGGTGACACGGGGCAGTGGCACGAGGTGACACAGGGGCAGTGGCACAAGGTGACACGGGGCACTCGAGGTGACACAGGGCACTCGAGGTGACACGGGGCACTCGAGGTGACACGGGGGCAGTGGCACGAGGTGACACGGGGCACTCAAGGTGATACAGGGCCAATGGCACAAGGTGACACAGGGCACTCGAGGTGACACAGGGGCAGTGGCACGAGGTGACACAGAGCACTCAAGGTGACACATGGCACTCAAGGTGACACAGGGCACTCGTTACCTCCCGCCTGTTCTCGCGCCTCTCGATCTTCCTGCGCAGCGGGACGAGCTTCCTCCTGCAGGGAGAACAGGGAACGTCACAGCCCTGACAGGCAGCACCAGCAGCAGCTGCACATTCCAAACCTCCTGAGGTGGGGGTGCCTCGGGATAAGGAAGATCTAAAGCTGGTAGAGAGCATCCAAAGGATGGGGAAGGGTCTGGAGGGGCCACAGGAGGAGCAGCTCCTCCCGAGGGACAGCTCTGGTCTCGGCTCTGTGTGACAGGGAATGGCTGGAGCTGGGGCAGGCCAGGCTCAGGCTGGGTTTTAGGGGAAGATTCTTCCCCCAGAGGGTGCTGGGCACTGCCCCCAGGGAATGGGCATGGCCCAGG